GCCCCCCAGCCTGTCACCGTGCATCCCAACAGCCGCTCTCATCATAGCCTTGCAAAAATGCGCTGTAAAGCAAGGTAAAGCTTAAAGAAATACACGGTCTGTTACTCACCCCAAGCTGAGCAAACTGTTGAGGCCTTCTTGACAAGCTAATGCTCTATTTCCTCCTCCTGTTACACCAAATTACCCTCTCTAATTAACAAACATGTCCTTTATCTTTGCTTTCCAAGCTGTTACGCTTCTTGCTTCAAAGGAAACAAAAAAAAAAAGTGCTTCTTGCTGGTTCATGTTACAGCCTCCCAGTGTCAATCATGCAGGCTGAAAATGGGGCGAAAAAAGATGAAAAAAGGTGCATGCCACCGCCTTCAGCATGGCAGCCTCTGCTCCCCTCCATCCCTCGCGGGCCCCGGCGCTGTGGGCACTTACCTGGCCCGAGGGGTCCCGTGCTACCCCTCGACCGCTGCGGAGGAGCAGGGTGAGCGGAGGGTTATCGGGCGCGAACGCGCTCCAGCTGCCATCTTCGCGCAAACCACCTCATTTTGCTGCTCTCGCTCTTTCTCTCGTTCTGTAAAACAGGAAACGTTGCAGCCGCAGCTGAGCCCTGGTTCCTGTCTGCGCTCGCAGCCCGGCTGCGGGGCGCAGGGGCCTGGCTCGTGGGGGATCTGGCTTATCTTGGGACCCCAAAGTCTCCAGCTTCTCTCGAAGCAGAGGTAGCAATTATCTTGTGGGCCATCTCCCTTTATCGGGCTCTGATGTGCGGAGGTTGAGAGCTCGTTCACGGACCTGCTTGTGGCACTCGGTGACTGAGTTTCCCCGAGCTGCTTTGGGGTAGAGAAATCCAGACTTAGGGAAGTACAGCAATGCTATTATTTTAAGGCTTCTTGCAGATTGGAAAGGAAAAAAAGTGTGTACTGGCAGCTGAGGAGAGGTCACGAATGGCAGAAATTCATTAAGGTCTTTGGAGAAGTGAAAGCTGCATTAATGCAAATCATGCCAGGAGGTCGGTTAAACCAGCTGGGCGCTGATAAGGGCTCTGTGCCTATGCATGTGGAAAAGGAACACAAGTAAAAGCAGAGATCTCATAAAGTAACGTAGGATTTATTTTTACAAAGGCCAGTCTGGAAGGGATACACAATAAAAAATTTCCCAGTTCAAAGACCCTCTTGTGGCTTTGGGTGGTTTGTGCTGCTTGGCCCAAATCCTCATTCTGGGCTGTGACTCGGCTCGCTTCCCGCAGCGCTCGGCACCGCTGCCTCGGTGGCGTTCAGTGGGGGAACAGTTTCTGGAGGCTGAGCCGGAAGCCTGCTGGGGAGCAGGACGCTGGCAGCAGATTCTGCTGCCAGGAGCTTCTCTGAAGCGCCTCTTGGTTGGAAAAAGCCATTGCAAGAGTTCATTACTAAAAAGGACATTTTCATGGTGCATCCCATCTCGGGTTGCCAGGGTGCATCAGCATGGGGCTGCCCCAGTGGCGTGGAAAAGGGCACCCGAGTAGCAGGATTAACACCCAAATCCCTTGTGCCTGGCCCCAGGTGTCCCGGTGCGCTTGCCGCCCCAGGGGCTATGTTCTTCTGATGTTTTCCACCTTATAGTTGCTCCTGATGAGAGAGTCGAGGAAGTCGGGGCCCATCTCGGGTTGCCAGGGTGCATCAGCATGGGGCTGCCCCAGTGGCGTGGAAAAGGGCACCCGAGTAGCAGGATTAACACCCAAATCCCTTGTGCCTGGCCCCAGGTGTCCCGGTGCGCTTGCCGCCCCAGGGGCTATGTTCTTCTGATGTTTTCCACCTTATAGTTGCTCCTGATGAGAGAGTCGAGGAAGTCGGGGGCTATGCCCCGGAGGAGGAGCAGGCTGCCCACCGCCTGGGATGGGTAGTGCAGCTCCCGCCGGCGCAGCGCCCCGCTCTTGATGATCTCCAGTGCGCACTCCTCCTTCGGTGCCGGCGTGTCCCGGATGGCGTGCGAGACCGCTCGCACGGCGTTCTCTGGAGGGACAGGAGGACAGGGAGGGAAGGAGCAGTGTTGGATGGAGGGGCTGCTACAGGCCCACCGGCTCAGCTGGGGTGTCTGCAGCTTCCTCTAACAAACCAACAAGCTCCGGGAATCTGACCTACTTAACGAGGCTTAGAATAGTTAAATAGCAATTATAGCTATGTCCTTCCCATTCCTTTCCACCTCTCGAGTGACCGTAGGACAGAATTCCCACCTCCCCTAGGTTTACTGCAAGGCTAGCAGAGTCAAAGGTCTCGGGCCACACTTTTATAGAGTTGGGGTCCCGTTTCCACAATTGCACAGCCACTGCAGGCTGAGGGTCCAGCAGCGGCAGCGAAGCCGTGTGCTGAGCGGCCAGAGGGCGGGTGGTGGGCTCGGCTTGGCTCTGTCTGCAAGGGCACCAAGTTGCAGGGCCCCAGGGATGCTGAGCTTACCTGTGTCGATGTAGCCCAGGATGCAGAGTGTGATGGAGACGTTGACCTTGTCTATGATGAATTCATGTCGCAAGGAGCTGAAAAATCCGTCTAAGGCGAACTTAGTTGCAGAATAGGGAGCTGTAAACGGGGCACCAGCTTTACCTGGAGCAGAGACATGAGGTCAGGGTTCGTGTACTGCGCAGACACCAGGCTGCACGGCTCTCCCTTCCTCTTGCCCTTCAAGTTGCTGCAATATTGTGATTTAGGATGACTGAGTAATGTCATGGATGGTCGAGAGAAATAAACAAATGCAGGAATGTTTCAAATGAAACATACAGCATACAATGGCATGAAGTACCTTCAGTTGTGGGTGATACTGTTCTTGTGTTCCTGCATATGTGCCCTTGTATCCCAAATGCACGTATAATATGTGGCCATGCACATAAAATAACCAGCAGTGGTACACCATTGGCTGCGGTGCATGAAGGTGACTGGTGGGTGCAAAGAGATGAGCAGGACAGGGTACAGAATATAAATCCCCCACAGGAATGAACTGTGCAGCCAGGGTACAAATCATATGCCCATCCTGACTCCCAGCGGGGTGGCTCTCTGCCCTACGGTCCTTATTCTGCCTTTTGAAGAAGAGCTGCAGCAGGGATCCCTGGCAGGCAGAGGAAGGGATGTGGGCAGGGAGAGCCTGGTCCCTTGTGCGCTCACCTGCCATGGATGAAACGACGACGACGCTGCCCTCGCTCTCCTTCAGCATGGGCAGGGCAGACATGGTCATCGCCACGTAGCTGAGGAAGTTGATCTCCAGGAGCTTTCGTACGTGCCCAACATCCCCGTTGAAGTAGTTGAAGTAGGTGTGACCAATGTGATTTAGGATGAGCATGTCAAGGCCTCCTGGAAGCAGAGTATGTTTGCTATTAGCAACCGGCATCTGAAACCAAAGCAGCTTCTCGGTGGCTGGAATGGCCCCAGAATGTAGCGTGGGGTGTGTTGGGGAGCGAGGAGGGGCAGCTCCCCACCACCTACCCCAGGTGTTCTCAGCCTCCTTCACCACCACCTCGGGGAACGTGGTGTCCTCCATAGAGCCGCTCACGTAGCGGGCGGATGCGGCACCCAGCTTGAGGCACTGCTGCACAACCTGCGGCAACAGCGAGAGCGGTGTTGGTGATGGACAG